ATAAAACAACGAGAAACAAAGAGTATGCAATGTAACCAACTAACTTATTTTCAAATCCGTTTTACATTTTATATTATTTTTTTAAAAAAACACCGTATTACATTACAATACTATTCTCCCATCATGGCGAAATCCAGATTTTTCATAATCCATGTGATTGTGAATTTTAACAACAAAACTACGAATAAGAATAATATCTTACTGTATTGTAAGGCCACCAATTTGTGACATTATACTTTACTACGATAAATTAAGAAAACACAATGTCACCCGGAACGTCACACAGTACAAGCTTTTAATTCAAAGTGAAGTTATAAATTTTGGACATTTTTCCTGAAATCTGTAAACCACGAGGTTGCTTCTCCGATCAAGATGTATTCCAAGCATCATGAGGATATCCAAACGAGCATTTGTCATAGTAGAACGTAAACCATTTTTAATTAGTCCCAATTACCTTAAAATGTTCAAAATGCTCAATCCTTATATACATTCAAAAAAATCATTAAGAACCACTATTTTTCTGAACTTCAAAATAATATATAGTTTAAAGTCTATGATGTCAACTTGGTTGAATCTGACTGATGTTTTGAAAATGTATATTTATTGTATTGCTTCCTTATTGTTCTATTATTATTCTGTAATTTTTGTATTCTCATTTAGAGACCACAGTGGAAATAAGTCGCTTTTTGTACTTTTCTGTGTTTTTATCCTTGAATGTTTTTACTTTTAATTACTTCAGAATGAATAAATAAATAAATTTAAAAAAAATTGAACAGGGGTGGATCCAGAATTTTTCAAACGGGAGGAGAAGCATTTGTATTCTTTTTTATTTAATTTCAATACATGAAATTAATATGCACTGACATTAAAAAAAATAGTGTTAAAACACTGTTTTGACACTTGACACTGTTCTGCTGACTTACGTTCCAATAAATGTGTGAACGTAATTAATTTATTGTGAAGAAAATCTGGTGTATCATGGGCTTAATTCAATGTGAAAAGTAATATATACGGTAGTCGGATAACTTACAATAAAACGGCACATGAATTTGTTATTATTGTTACTATTATTATTATTGTTTTTGTTATTATTATTTTGTTAACACAAACAGTACACATTAATAGGCCGGTCAATGAAGGCGATATGGTTGCTTCTCTTGCCACCACCAATATTTAGGTGGACGCACATACATTGTCCCCCTCGGCTTTTTTGGAACATTGCAACACAGAATTAATTCTGTATACACAATAGTTGCACATGATTATTTCTGTACCTACAGAACATAAATAGCAATGCCCCAAACGTATATGTTGTGCAAGTTCTTTGCAGACAGGGAAAAATGATAATTATAGAGGGCGCACTTCAGTAATTTCAAATAGAGTTCCTATAAATAATTTCAAATAGAGTCCCTATTATATAGGAACTCAAATTTCAAATCCCCCTTTTTTAGTCACTTTTTTACGGCTCTTGAAAATGTAGACACTCTTCACTTAACGAGCACCAATTTGCCGTGTCCTCCAGCGCGCCTATTCATATTACTGTATGCAACAATCATGTGCGTAGGTATTATCAGTGAGAACTAAGCTTGCTTTAAAATATCAGTTCTAAAATTGTGCATTCTTGGGTGTTTCCATCTGCAAAAAGTTGACTAGTACTCATAGTTACCAACCTTAGAGATTTGAAATACGTGACTAGACCAGTTTGTTGGTGGAGGGGGCAGGTCCCCGAGTCCAGAGGCGGAGCCCTGAGGATCTGCAAGGAGCGTTTGTTGACAATACCGGGTACAAAAATGTTTTTAATAAAACCACATACAATTCGAGTTTCAATGTACTGTAGGGCTTACATTATGTTTAATTTGAGTACCCGAACCACTATGTACACAAACATTTCACGTAAATATTGTCTAATGACTTAAGTTACTGGATGACCGTTTTTATAATGACTGATTTTATGCCTACCATGGTTTTCCTGAATTATTGAGGCTTGGCTTGCGCTTCATAACCGCAAGGGAAAGGTGCAATATAAATACCCAATACCAGTACAACGTACTAATTTCTTCTAATTTTAAATAAATTTTTCCCTGTGCTAAATGCTTGACAAATTTATGATCACGCATGTGTTTCTGCAAAATGCGTGTTTCAACCAAAATCACTTTTGTGGCACGATGCGAGACGGTTGGTAACTATGCTTATCAAAAGGATCTAGGTGTGAATTTATGACAGGAATATGTGCGTTGATACCAGACAGATGGTATTATTATATTATTGTTGGCAGTGAACACTCTGGAAAAATACCATAAAACCTCAAATAGAAGCCCTGGGCTTCTTTTTTTTCACTTTTGCGAACTTTTGATGGGCTTCTTTTCAGAGGCTACTTTTGCAAAGTAAATTTTTGGAATTACTACTATAAAACAATAAATTACAACATCAGTCTGATCATGGTGCATTTAACCGGCATTAAATCACCTAAACTACTGTATAAACCAAGCGTGTTTTTAATTTATTTTGTTTGTTTGAAATTCTACTTTTATGGCTACTTTTGCAAACTACAGAGGGCAAGTCTTCAATTCAAGATGGGCATCTTCTCCAGATTAAGCCCACTGGGCCTCTATTCAAGGTTTTATGGTATATTAATCTTATAAATTTACGTTGCTCGAATAATATAAAATATTTAATGGGAAATTACAATGCAGACTTTATTGTACAGTACTTTAAATATACGAAGTCATTTCAATTTTTTTGTTTGATTCAACCAGCTGTCTACCTTCATTCTGAAATTCAGATTCTTGTAGATGTACTCATCTCTTACTGTCCTGCATTCTCTACACAATATAGATTTTGGTCCAAACTTCGACCGAGATTCAGATGACCAGAACTCATCGTTTTCACGTGTGCAATGAGTTTGCCCAACGCCGGTATGCCCTAATCTGTCCTAATCACACATTGTCATTGTGAAGACAAGTCGCACCAACAATAAATGACACCATTAAAGCATTTAATACAATACAATTTTACATACATTTATTTCTTATTGGAAAATACTTTATTTCTTACACACCCAAATAACTGAAGTGGGCAAGATGGCTATAATTAAGTGTAGAAAACTCACTTTTGGCCCTTAAATTTAAAAAAAAAAACAAAGAAAACAGGGAAAATTCAAATTGATTTTTTTCTGTATCTTTCAATTCATTACAGTAAACAATTAAATGAACACAAAAAAAGTAAAACGATTAAAATCTTCTATTAGGTGCTTAACACACACATATTCTTTACATATTTGGATTTCACCTACTTGCCTTCTTATAAAAAAAAAAAAAACCAACAATTTACATTATTAAATTTTATTTGAGAGGCGAGGTGAGAGACTGACGCTATGCTACGCGATACAGAAAAAAAATTAGATAATTTCAAATAGTTCTGTTCAATCCGGCAGTGACTTTAGCAGACGGAAACGTTCAAAATCTTTGCCGCGATTCAAACTTCTTGTAAACCTTGTTCTCATAAAAGCATGGTATATATCCATAAATGGTAGTCAAAGTGGAGAATACATCCATGGAACTTCCCGTGTAGGAATACTGTCTGAGCTGGAACACAATGTCCTGCTCATAGTGGCTATGTTTCACTTTGTAGAGGTAAGTTCTTACTATTTCTTCTTTGAGTAAATTCTTGTTACTGCATTCGAATTGATTGAATAATTTGGAAAATTGCTGCAAGAGAAAATGTATAAAAAATTTAATTCAAATGATGTTAAAAATACAAATTCAATATACACTATGTGGATGGCAAAATATGAAAAACAATATTAATTTGGCTTTAATTTAGGAATGCTGAAGTTACAAACACATCATAAAATAAAGGTAGAATTGAGGTGATTACAAAAAAAATCCAATCTCATGAAACAAATCATAACATGAAAATTATTAAAGCACAATTTAAATTCAATACTAACTTTACAGTATTTACATTTTTTCCAAGACAAGATGACAAACAATAAATATAGAGTGTCATATCTAGTTACAGTCAGTAGCATTATTAAGGGATAATGTGTAACAGTACACTTCTAAAACGTTACAAATCAATACATTATTTCATTCCAAAGGAAATTAATTTTCTCATTATATTTATACTTTTTAAGCTTAAAGATTTAGAGTCAATTACAATAATCCAATCTATCACTGAAACAGATTAACAATTATTAAAGTAAAAACTAATGAGTAATAAATTTATTAGATAATGCAAGGTATACTAGTCTAGAAATGAAGGAAATAAATAACAAATGCCATGAGACAATTAGCAGGCTAGGGCTGTACAGTATGATGAACTGATGATGATACACCTGCCAACTCTCACGCATAATGAGCGAGTCTCGCGCATGAGCATCCACTTTTTATGTTTCATGCCTACATTGTATTATCTCATTATGAAATGTTATAAAAGTTAAAATGTATAGGTCGATTATACCCTAAAATTCATAAAAATTATGTGAATTCGTCATAAAATGTGAATACAGGCCACAAAAATTTATTTTAATGAAGCTTTAAAGACTGACAACTGTAATTAAAAAAATAACAGAGAGGGCGCTCTTTTTCGTGATTTTTACATAGACGGTGCTATATACAAATTGTTGTTTGTCTCGGGCATCAGACACCAGCAAAGTTGAAAGATATTATGATGATGATATTTTGATTATGTTTGCGATTGTCAATTACAGTGAAAATGTAATCAATTAATTTTCACTTTTATTGACCCCTAGCCTAACCTGTTTGTGATGATAATTATAAGGATGATTATTACAATGGTGATGGTGATTAATAATTATGATGATAAATAAATATATAAATTAATAAATAATCAAATGATACTAACCAGAGCCACAGACAACAAATATGAATAGTCCTAAGAGCCAGGGGCCAACAGGTGATTTTTCATCTGCAACTTTCTGAAATAAACAAAAATCACACTTGAAATTAAAACACTGTTTCTAACTTGTATTCAGATCTTCTAATTTTTTTTTTGACTGAAATCTCAGATTTTTCACCAAAATACCACTGACATTGTGACGACAATTAATTCATAATTCACAGGCAGAGAAAATAAAATCAATACCCAAAGATGAATCAAATTGAGCCAAGTTTTGGTTAATAGACTAACACTGGACTTGGGTAGAGTAGTTTAAGTTTTATCATTATTTTGCAATTTGTCTTGATTTATGTGTTATATTTTAAGATCTAAATTGTATCAATGTACAGTATCTGTTTAAGCATCTGGAAACCAAATTTCATGTGAACCATGTTTTGTACATTGACAAATAAATATATCTTGTATCTTGTATTATACATTTTTCACAATTAGTATTCTAATTTCCAAAAAAAATAAATAAATAAAATAAATAAATAAATAAAAGAACAAGTGTGTTGAGGTGGTTTGGAAACTATTTTAGGGTGCTGGATACAAAGGTAAATTTAAATTAGCGCCAACCATGTATCGCTTTATCAACATACTTATGAGACAGCTGTTGTCTCGTCAAAGCATAAGCTGTAATCAATAGGGCTTTAATCATTTAAACAAGCAAAAATAACCATATGGTAGCCACAAGATGGACTTCACATGCATTCAAGAAACAAAATTAAAATTAAATCATAATGAACTCCCAACTACATATAATAAACTAAATATAAACAACATCAACAACTAACAGAAGCTGGCTGAGTTTGCTAGGCTAGGCCTACTAAAAAAAAGTATTAATATTAAAATATCTAGCATTGACAACAATTTTATTTTTCTTTAATTTTCAAAATTTTCAACATGTCATGCAAATTTTAACAAAAATCCTGAAAAAAAATATAGAACTATGGTGTTGCTATTAATGGGTTTCCAGTTTTGAAACTGTAGTATGCTGTTTCATGTATTTTATACGCAAATAAGCCTAGGCCAAACAACCTAAGCCTAGCCTATCCTAAACATCTAAACAGGAGCCCGATGAAGTCAATAATCCGACCTCCATCATCCGTAATCGTCAACACACAGCTGACGTTTATGAACTTACTCCTCCTTTCTGAACATTGCCTCGTTTTTCAACATTTTTGCTGGCCTTTTCGTTGGCAAGTCGCATTCTCTGTTTGCTAGGCATGTTTCTTGACGATAGTTTGCCTGCTTCGCAATAAAAATAAGGAGTAAATGTTCCTTGGTTGCAACAGCCTTTACTCGACGTTTACGGATGCAAAGACGAAAAGGATGTGACAAATCACGATTGTCATTAAATTATTGTCATACACCTTAATAATATAGTTCAAACACTTAAAGCTTTTATTATTAGAAATAGTACAGTAATACATATTATATAATATACATAGAAACAGTAAATAATAAAGTAGATGTTCTAAATATGTAATTTATGTATAAATATTATATATAAATATATGTGGTTTGATACTGATACCGTTTTTCAGGTAATTCGGTTTAGGATGACAAAACGCTGTAAACAAGCCATTTAAATTGACGTGGCAGGTCATTTGAAATCCATTAAATATCTATACTAAAATGAATTCAGAAATAATAAATGATTTAGAATAATATGAAAGGCTTTCTTGACCAATGTTAAGTTATTGTGTTTTTGATGGAAATTAAATAAATAATCATGTTAAATTTGACCTCCCAGAATACAATTCAACAAATGGCGATATAAATATGGCGCATATCTCGCTGAATTCGTACCTTCGCAAGGTAATGTAATGTTCATTGATGTTCATTAGCTATTATATCCCATGCGTTTATTCTATATATGATCAAACACAGCACTATCAAACGTATTATAAGTTATTAAATTAAAACGCAGTTAGAAGAGCTAAGCTAACCCAACCCGGCAAGCCCGATAGACAGCTCAGCCGGCGAGCCAGGCAGGCGGACACTGGGACTGAGAGACTAAACAAGGAAGGCTGGGCCTAGAGAGTACAGCCTAGATTTTCTTCATTTTAGGTTGCTGCTTTCAACCATATGACAATGTTGTATAACTATATGGATGTGTTGGCAAAGGTGCTGGAACCTAGCCGCAAGTCACTCTTTCTTGCTGGGCTCTTTTTTTGTGGCGAAAACCAGGATTGAGGAGGAAAAGGAGTCACGACGATGTTTTTGGTTGTTAGCAGTTTTAGTTTTTTTTTAATTGTGCAAGCAAATACTTGCAAAATTTGTAAAATGTGGAAGGAAATCTTGCACAATTTTCACACTATGCAAGTATTTCTTTGCACAATTTGAAAACTGTTCAACACTGTCTTGCACAGTAGTTCGCAAAGTGTTCAGGGTAGCTCGTGTACATTTATTTTTAATCAATTTTGATAACACTAAACTTAGAAGTAGAATAGAACATTTATATAGCGCCGGTATCCACCAGATATGAGGCTCATGGCACTTCTGCAAATGTTAAATATTAATTTAATTGTTTTTAATTTACTATATATAGTGGGTGGCTGCGTGACGGTGCTTATCAAAACGTTCTATAGAATCTTCGGGTCATGTGGATTACATGCTGGATGTGCATGGATCCTGTGGTGGGGAAAAGAGTGGGTAGTGGGGGTTGACAAGTGTTTTTTTTAAAGGTCTTATTAAAGTACCCTAAAGAATGATGATCCCTGGTTCTAAAGACAAGGTCTTACTGAGACGATACTACTGTACACACTCGGCCAGAAACCCCTGCTGTAAACGATATATTGAATTAGTTTGTCTTTTTTTTTTTTTGCAGGTGGACTCCGCTATACAGTACAAAGACAGTGACATTCTTGTGGTCAGTCGGCATTTAATAATAATAAATACAATACAAATAGAGTTTTTTTATTTTTCTAAATATTGTGGTCTAAATGCAGTTTAAAAAATCTTTAATCTATTTTTTTTAAACAATAAACAATTTACAATAGGATGGAGATAAATACCAACAGGTGAGCAATCTAGACACCTCTGATAGAATATACCAAGAATAAAATTTCAAAATGAACCATATACTGTATATATTAAGAATAACAAAGCCTCCTCAATAAGATCATAAAGTCATTCCCATTTATTTACTCCACTCCAAGGGCCTGACCGGTAGCTCTCTGATGCTTTTAGGCTTGGACCCTCTGTCGGAATTATTGAAACCCCCCACTCAAAAATTCCTGGAGCCGCCACTGCTGCAAGATCCTATTATTTATGTTGCCAAAACACTTACATTTGCGCAGTGTTCCATATTTTTAAGACTGGGCCCAATAAACATTCCAAGGATACAATGTAGCACTTCTTAAAATGTCAGCGTCCTATGATTTCTGGCCATCTTCATTTCTAGTACACAGGTCCTAGTTTTAGGGTCTGTGATGCAAGTATGTAAACTATGCCTAAATCTATGTTTTTCAGTTATGGTACCAATTAATATGTCAAGCTCTCTATTCTTTCATTTTCAGGAATTATTGTCTAACCGTGATCCACATGTCTGCAATGTAAATCTGCGTAAGAATGATCCCGAATCGCATTGTGAGGAGATTCTAGAACCGCCATACGATAAAATCGTTGCTGCTCACCTCAAGTAGGTCAAGTAAAATATTCAGCCTAATTTCCATAAAATCACTGACAGCTATCAGCGACACTGATTGGTCGGTTGAATCAGGAAGCCTGACCAGTAATGTTGGGGACAAGTTTGCAGTGTATATTGCAGGGAAAAAAATACTAGTGACACTGTAGCGATTTTATGGAAACTAGATTTTAGACGTTAACAGCAAACAGCATTTTTATGATTGAGTGAGGGCACACTTCTCCAACCCTAACCTTAGAATACCTGCTGTTTATTTGACCAAAATACACAGGTGAAATAAACAATACACAAGTATATTAAGATTTAAAAATTGACCAGGGACACCAGGTAAAAAAACGGAGAGATGCAGCTTGGTAGTTAAGGTGCCCGACTTCCAGTCCCAAGGTCCTGGGTTCTGGGACAGCACAGGATTTTTTTTCATGACTGAAAACATCTCCATTCTCTAAGCCTCATCGTAATGATTACTTTAATGATAATAATCTTTAAGAATAATATTCCCTTTTAGTTTTTACTTCCAGAGTTCAGAGATTTATTTATATATTTTATGTATCCTTAAATCAGTGGAGAAACTTTATACAGCAATTTAGTTTGCTGTTTGTTTATCCTGTCTCTGATTTTTGGTATTGTCATTTCTGTATGTTTTGTTTTCTGTTTGACGAAATAAATGAAATGAAATAGGATATGCTGGAAGTGTCACCCTCTATAAGTATGGTATAAAATAAAAGAAATTACTATGATTTGGACTCCAGTTTGTTCCATCATATTAATAGAGTGAATCAAAAGTTATAAATATTTAATAATGTAATAACAGATTATACTGTAATTAGCTTCTATAAATAAAATAAATAATTCTAAAATATACAGTAACAACATTATTATATTACAACATAACATAATTTACATGATAAATAATTGTAAACAAGGTGTTTATTTTTATAGGTAATATGATGGTCAGCATTGTGAATTTGTGAATAACACTTGAATTAAGTGTAAATTTATAAAGTATTATTTTAATATTCATTGGATCCAATTGGAGGACCCTTCTAGAAATTATTGTCTTTTTTGCAATTTGAAGGTTCTTCCCGATATGCTGTTTTGTAGTTTGATTAGTTCATGTTCATTTGCTTCTGTTATGTATTTTAAAGAGCATATTGAATAAATCAAAGAAAAAAAATTCTATGATCCAGGTAATAAAATTTTAGCCTAATAGCATAAATATACAATGCATTATGTAATTCTAAATAAAAATATAATATACCATATTTATTTTAATAAATCTTTGAATAAATTCCCCCTTGAATAAATGCCTCCTTTAGAGCCTTATTTGGAATAAATACCTCAAATAAATGCCCTGAAATGCTTATTTTTTTCCCTAGAATAAACACCCCCCACCCCCTAAATGACTAATCATTCTCAACACATTCTGTTAATGTTCTACTCCAATAGAATTATATTTTTTATAACCTGGTTGACATCTATAAGACTTTATGATTACGCAATAACACATTTTGACGGTAATTAACCTAAAACCCTACTCAACAATGAATGCTATTGGGCATTTATTCAAATACAGTATATACGGTAAGTGTAGTATACTAACAATTTAATTTGTGAGCCTACCATATGGAAATTGTGCATAATTAATAATTGAAGGGAAATCTTATTGTGCATAATTCAATGGAAATCATAGTGTGCATAATTCATAATTCAAAGGAAATGTTTATTTTTTATTCGTAAGAGGCCTTGTTGGCATGAAGTGCTTTATAATTCTAACAAATTATTTTTAATATTACTTGGTGACCCATTTACAAGGTATGACCACCAAACTATTTTGTATATTTTGGTGGCAAAACTGGCAAAAAACACACACAAAATAGTGCTTGCATAAATACAATTATAAAGTAACAAGAAAAAAACCAAAAGTTCACAGAAGGAGCTTTTAATAATAAACAGTGGCGGATTCAGGGCCCCCTAAAATTGAAATAACAAAATCATTTTAAAAATGGAGAATAAATGAATGATTATATTCAAATTTAATCAAGAGGTGCCATAATCATAAATGTTCTTACTTAGCCCCAATCATTGTTCGGCTGAGATGTTCTAGACACTATCTGTGAAAGTATCTCCCTGGGCAACCTGTATTTTGAATTCCAGTATCCACCAAATGTGTTTCATAAATTCATACAGCACTTTATGCTACAAGGCCTCTGGGCTTGACATTTACTTTATGCAATGAACATATGTTTATTTGATTACAGTATTTGCTTTTTTATAGGTGCATATGGAGTTGTAATAACCAGGATCTTGTTGCTTGCTATGGCTTTCAATCTCTTCTGGTTCAGTATCCTTTTGTTTTGAGAGGGCACTGGTGGGATTTGGGGTTGTATTACTATAGATTATTCTCTTATCTATTTCCATTTTTGCATATTTGTAAACCACGTTAGATTTTCTTAACCTCAGTAATATAGTGAATTCAATAAAGCATTTCAGACACATAAAGAAGAGAACTGGTAATTAGATTGTTTACATTTTATTCTATGGTAATTTCATGATTCATATATTTCCATATGTTGTGATGTTTTACATTGATTATTAATAATTGCTAGTTTACATTTTGTTGAAAATTTAATATTAAAATGCAATTGATTGTATCTATTTAGGGCCTTGCCAGTACTGTATGCTATCACTCTAGATCTCAGGCTCTTTGCCACAGCTGTAAGTATTGAAATATTTGGATTGTTGATTGATTGATTCATTAATTGATTTTTTGATTGGATGGTTGGTTGATTGTTGGCTGATTGGTTGGTTGATTGGTTGATTAAATGAGTGGTTAGTTGGTTAATTGGTTGGTTGGTTGGCTGATTGGTTGGTTGATTGAATGGATAGTTGATTGAATAGTTTGTTGGTTGGATGATTGAATGGTTGGTTGGTTGGTTGGTTGAATGGGTGGTTAGTTGGTTAACTGGCTGATTCAGTGGTTTGGTGGTTGGCTGGGGTGGTGCCAGAATTTTGCCCGACAAAGGGTCCATTTTCTTTGACGGAGCAGCGACTCCGCGACTCAAAGGCTTATTTGAACTATTTTTGAACTAATATGCATAAAAATATATGTAATTTTTTCTTCTTCCTGACGAAGTGTGTTTTTCTCCCTGATGGGGGACCCTGGCCCCCCCCCCCCCACTGGCGCCACCCCTGGTTGGTTGGTTGCAGTGGTGGCACCAGCGGGGGGCAGGGGGAAATTTTCCCCCGGTCAGACAGGCGTGGACCACCTGTCGTCGGATGCATATAAAAAATAATAATTTGCCTATTCAAAGAACATTATTTTGACTGCCAATCCCTAATATTGTGGTTTAAAAGCACAAATTTTGGACCATACTAATTTATAAAACACTCCTCGTGAACCCTACAAGAATGTTTTTATTCCAGGCCATCGACTGAGGCTTCTTTGGTCCCTTGGCTTGGACTTCTCTGTCGGACATGTTGATTCTTTTGTCGACAATTTCTGGCACCACCGCTGGTTTGTTGGTTGATTGTTTATTTGATTCAATGGTGAGTGGTTTGTTGGTTGATTGGTTGATTGGTTGGTTGGTTGGTTGGTTGGTTGGGTTGGTGGGTGGGTGGGCTATTGGTTGGGTGGTTGATTGGGTGATTGGTTGATTGGTTGGTTGGTTGATTGGTTGGGTGGTTGATTGGGTGGTTAGTTGGTTGATTGATTGGTCGGTTGGGTGGTTGATTGGTTTGTTGGTTCATTGGTTGGGTTGTTGGTTGATTCGATGGTTGGGTGG